TCCAGTCTTTTTAGTAGCCACTTAGTCACAAACACTGGCCAAAATTGGCGCTTTTGCATTTTTCACACAAAACAAATACTAACACTAACTTTGGCCAGTGTTTGTGACCAAATGGCTACTAAAAGACTGGACATACCCCATTTGCAATACCTTGGGTTGTCTACTATTGCAAATGATATGCCATTATGGGTGTAAATTTCATTCCTGGGCTACTATAAAAGTCCCAAAGGCAACGTAACCAATCTGGCGAATTTCAATTTCAAATGTAACGTGCTATATTTGACCCTGTAACTTCCCAAAACGCCATAAAACCTGTACATAGGGGGTACTGTTTTACACGTGAGACTTTGCTGAATACAAATATGTGTATTTTATTGCAGTAAAAGCAAACAGTATTATGACATTGACCGTTAAAATGTCATGTAGAACTAAAAAAATCAAAAAAATCTTATTTTCTCCCATTTTTTTCATATTAAATTATGTTTCATAGCTAAATATTTGATATTAAATGAAAGCCCTGTTTCCCCTGAATAAAATGATATTTAATAAGGGTGGGTGTATTTAATATGAAAGAGGTGAATTACAGTTGGACAGACATGTAGCGCAAATGCCAGGTTTTGTTTACATTTTGTTTTGTTTACAACGTGTACATTTGGCTCCGTCCTTAAGGGGTTAAACGAACACTATAAATTCAGGAACATAAACATGGAGAACGGCATGGAACACAGTGAGGGAGGGAATTAAAGATTTACTGATGTTTGTTCTGCTCACTGTGTAAGTGTTCTGCTCACAGCTAAGCCTGGCTTTTTGTGGATAAACTTTGAAGCAAAAATATACATTTTGGGGAGTCTATTGCTGTAGACCAGGAGCACACATCTCCAGGCAACGAGTGCTGTACATGGGTTCCTTTGTTTCATTTATTTAAAAAAATATAGTAAATAATTTTGCTCTATAAACCGACTCTTTCTGCCAGTCCCTCTAACCAAAGAATCTCCCTTTTTGTTCCATTAGTACATGGAGTCAGGCTGCGATCAGGCTGTACAGAAAAGGTTTCGATAAGAACTGAAGTACAGCTCCCAAAAACTCCCAGCAAAACACATATTACAAATTTATTTGTGGTTTTTGGATGCTCACTTCATAGTCTGGATTGGTTCTATTTAGATACTTACCAAACGCCTTGCAAAATTTTTATGTTTACTTGCCCTATGACTTTCTTGGTAACTTAAATGGTTACTCCAAACATCATAACTACTATATATGGTTGTCACGGGCCCGGCGGTCCTGGGGGGCCCAGCTCACCAGGCCCCACATTCCCAATCTGTATCGGTGGAACTGCCGTTGGTGCACCTGAACTGGGCCTGCAGCTGATGAGTCCCATCAAGTTGCCCATGCATATGTCTTTAGGGCCCGGTCAGCACTGCTGCCCTTTAATAATGTCAGCTACAGTCGGTGGTGCTGGGAGGAAGTGACAGCCGGTCACTTCCTCCCAGCTTACTCCGTGCGGGAGGGAGGAGACGGAGTGGAGGCTGTCAGCCCCAGCCACCCTCTGCAACCAAAAGTTAAGAAATAGGAGGGTGGATGAAAAATGAGCTGCATGTGTATGTCTGTATGTTTGTCATTATGCATGTGTGTGTGTGTGTTAGTATGTATGTCAGTATGATACTATGTTGCCAGTATGAGTCTGTATCTGTGTGTATGTCTGTTTCAGTATGTGTGTCTGTCAGTATGTATGTGTGTATGTCTGGTTCAGTATGAGTGTCTGTATGTATTGTCAGACTTCGTCCATTATAAATTCATTTTGTCTTCATATAGCAAAGCCCTCACCCTTGCTAAACAATCCTACTTTTCATCTCTTGTTAGTTCATGCTCACGCAATCCTAGGCGTCTCTTTAATACTTTCAACTCTCTCCATCGCCCAGCTCAAGCCACCCTTCAAACTGAACTTTCGGCAGATAGCCTTGCATGCTACTTTACAGACAAGATTGAACAGTTTAGGAAATAATTCTCCCCACTTTCGCAATCACACATCGATCGTACTTTCCCCAGCTACAGAACAGGAGGTGGTTCGCTTCTCCTCTCATCCCACCACCTGTCTGCTTGATCCAGTACCTTCCCACCTTATCAGATCTCTCTCCCTTTGTCTTCTACCATCCTTAACACACATCCTAAACTGCTCTCTTTCATCTGATGTTGTCCCTGCTCCCCTTAAGCATGCTTCTGTCGTACCCTTCCTAAACAAGCCATCCGTAGACCCATCTTCCCATTCCAACTATTGTCCCATATTCCTGCTTCCTTTTTCCTCAAAACATCTAGAAAGACTTGTCTTTACTCATATGATTCACTTCCCAAATCCCTCCTCGATCCTTTTCCCCTCCACTCTATTGAGATTGCTCTTATTAAAGTTACAAATGACCTAATCGCAGCTAAATCCAAAGGCCACTACTCCATACTAATTCTTCTTGACCTCTCTGCTGCCTTTGACACTGTTGATCATGGCCTCCTTCTCCTAACACTTCAATCTCTTGGTCTCTGTGACATAGTCCTCTCATGGTATTCCTCCTATCTCTCTCAACGCTCCTTCTGTGTTTTTTTTTCCAATGACGACACCTCTCCTCATCCTGTCTCAGTCGGAGTCCCTCAAGGTTCAGTTCTTGGTCCCCTTTTGTTCTCTCTCTATACTGCCTCTCTTGGCAAAACTAATTAATTCATATGGATTCCACGACCACCTGTATGCCGACGACACCCAGAAATACCTTTCCTCCCCTGCTGTCCTCCAACCTGTCACCAATTGCCTCCCTTCTATCTCTGATTGGATGTCCTCCCGCTTTCTGAAACTCAGTCTCTCTAAAACCGAGTTGCTTACTTTTTCCCTTCATAACACAGCCTCCTCCTTCACTCTCCCTGCAGGATGACGGTACCTGCCTCACCCCATCCTTTCAAGCTCGCTGTGTTGGTGTCATATTTGATCCTGGTCTCACCTTTGCACCTCATGTCCAGTCTGTTGCTAAAACTTGTCGATTCCAGCTTAAAAACATTGCCCGTATACGCCCCTTTCTTACGCATGATGCTGCCAAGGAGCTTGTTCATGCTCTAGTAATCTCTTGCATGGATTACTGTAATTCCCTCCTAATTGGTCTCAACAGAAGCCGTAGTGCCCCCCTACAATCTGTGACGAATGCTGCTGCTAGGCTGATCTTTCTCTCATAGAAACATAGAATGTGACGGCAGATAAGAACCATTCAGCCCATCTAGTCTGCCCAATTTTCTAAATACTTTCATTAGTCCCTGGCCTTATCTTATAGTTAGGATAGCCTTATGCATATCTCACGCATGCTTAAACTCCTTTACTGTGTTAACCTCTACCACTTCAGCTGGAAGGCTATTCCATGCATCCACTACCCTCTCAGTAAAGTAATACTTCCTGATATTATTTTTAAACCTTTGTCCCTCTAATTTAAGACTATGTCCTCTTGTTGTGGTAGTTTTTCTTCTTTTAAATATAGTCTCCTCCTTTACTGTGTTGATTCCCTTTATATATTTAAATGTTTCTATCATATCCCCCCTGTCTCGTCTTTCCTCCAAGCTATACATGTTAAGATCCTTTAACCTTTCCTGGTAAGTTTTATCCCGCAATCCATGAACCAGTTTAGTAGCCCTTCTCTGAACCCTCTCTAAGGTATCAATATCCTTCTGAGATACGGTCTCCAGTACTGTGTACAATACTCCAAGTGAGGTCTCACCAGTGTTCTGTACAATGGCATGAGCACTTCCCTCTTTCTACTGCTAATACCTCTCCCTATACAACCAAGCATTCTGCTAGCATTTCCTGCTGCTCTATTACATTGTCTGCCTACCTTTAAGTCATCAGAAATAATCACCCCTAAATCCCTTTCCTCATATGTTGAGGTTAGCACTCTATCAAATATTATAATTTACGTCCAAGATGCATTATCTTGCACTTATCCACGTTAAATGTCAGTTGCCACAATTCTGACCATTTTTCTAGTTTACCTAAATCATTAGTCATTTGGCTTATCCCTCCTGGAACATCAACCCTGTTACATATCTTAGTATCATCAGCAAAAAGACATACCTTACCATCAAGACCTTCTGCAATATCACTAATAAAAATATTAAAGAGAATGGGTCCAAGTACAGATCCCTGAGGTACCCCACTGGTGACAAGTCCAAGCTTCGAATATATTCCATTAACTACAACCCTCTGTTGCCTGTCACTCAGCCACTGCCTTACCCATTTAACAATATTGGAATCCAAACTTAAAGATTGCAGTTTATTGATAAGCCTTCTATGTGCAACAGTGTCAAAAGCCTTACTGAAATCTAGGTAAGCAATGTCTACTGCACCAGCCTGATCTATAATTTTAGTTACCCAATCAAAAAAATCTACAAGATTAGTTTGGCATGATCTCCTTGAAGTAAACCCATGTTGTCTCTGATCTTGAAATCCATGTGTTTTTAGATGTTCAGCAATCCTATCCTTTAACATGGTTTCCATCACTTTCCCCACTACTGAAGTAAGGCTTACTGGCCTATAGTTGCCCGACTCCTCCCTATTACCTTTCTTGTAAATGGGCACAACCTTCTTGTAAATGGGCACAACTCTTCTGTCGCTCCTCTCATACCTCACCAATCTGTCAATCCTTACACTGGCTTCCTGTACCCTACAGGTGTCAATTACAATAAAAATACTAACCCTTACCTATAAATCCCAAACCAACTCTAGCTTCTCTTACATTTCTTCACTGATTCATAAGTATGCCCCCTCTCGGTCTCTCCACTCTTCCGGTGACCTTCTCCTGTCTGCTGCTCGCACCCTTACTGCAAATTCACGCCTGCAATTTTATTGACCAGAGTAAAAAGATCAGTACCCTAAGCACTCTTGTTTGTTGCGTACCAAATGACAAACTAATTTCTAGATGACATGGTTCCTTAAACCTTTTTTTATGGGAAAAAGACAGCATATGTTAGCCCAAACAAAAGCCAGGACAATAGTCGTAATGTGTAAAGGTTGTAGCTTTATTAAAATATAGGGTTATGTATTTACAAAAAAAAAGTAATAGGATAGAGGTTCACCTTTATATAGCCAAATAACTGCATTAACATAGAATACAAACCGCAATAACAAGATCTCCACCCAACAATTAGATTTACAGCTGAGGGTGTGTGACATTCAGGTCATGGCAGGAAATCTTTACTTGCCCAGATATCCATGACACCTGGCACTTTATAGACCCAGTTCTTGCCCATTACCTGGTTTTGTTCAAGTAAGGCAAATGCAGTCAATCAGCAGCCATCCTGACTGCGCACAATGAAAAAAATGCAGAACCAAATAAATGTGCATGTATCAATTATTTATTTATTATTGACAGCTAATGCAACAGATGCTTTCCCTTGACGCATTTCATCTTCTAAATGACCTTTTTGGAAATGCACCGCTCCCTGAAATTAAAAGAGAAAAAAAGTGATTAGTTATAATTAAACTTGTGAAAGAGACATGTAATAAAACAACAGGTTTTCTCTTGGACAAATTAACCTTGACATTTATTCCTATGGAATACGTTGGCAAATCACAAACAAAGTGGCACTAAATCCCCACATATTGAAGCATGGTAGTAGAGCAATTCAAGGTTTATGAACCTCCAACACTGGCATCTGAAAGTGTCAATGTTAAAGGCACAGGCACAATTAGAAACCACAGGGCACCGGTGCAAAAATTACCTCATTCTCCTCCCACCCAGCCCTTCCATGAGTTTCAATTCTCCAGCCCCTCAATGTGTCTGAATCCTCCCCCAGTCCTTTCCACGTGTTAACTTAACCCCCCCCCCCATCCCTGCCACGTGTAATTTTCACTCCATCCCTTCCAAGTGTCAATTTATCCACACCGTCCCTTCCATGTGTCAATTCCCCCCCAGACTCCCTTCCATGTGTCTCTTCGACATCCTGCTCTCATACATGTATCGTGGCCTTGAGGATCAAGCAATCCAATCTGCGAGGAAGCACTTCCTGTCAGACTGTGTAGAGGAAAACAGAGGCCCCTCTACCCGCAAACCGCTTAGCAACGCTTCATGCAGTGAATGGCACAGGGGGGAGCACTGTGCTGTGCACCCTCCTCCTGTCAGACACCCTGCAACCGTATGCCTTGGGCCGGTGCGGTCTTGCACTGGCCCTGAAGATATGCCGTCCCATGGTCACAGGGGTCCCCTGGAGTGGCCGGACTGGTCGTAGCTGCGACCACTGAAACTGTTATAGCTGCTCCACTGGTTAAAGGAATGTAGTAGGAAGGAGGCGCTGTAAGCAGGCCAAGTTAGAGGGGAAAAAATAAAGGCTTGCTATTGACAAATAACACAATGCATTTTACACACCTGTAACACATTTATTGATGATTAAAGAGATTCGATAGTGCATTAGGCCCTCCCTATTCCCTTAATGCTTTCTTATGAGGATTTAACGAACACTGAATGACCTCATGTCCAGCGTCAGTTAGGCAACCAAAAGTCTGTTAGCAACCAGGAAGCACCTCTAGTGGCTGTCTGATTGACAGCCACTAGAGGCAGTTGTAGTCCTGCAATGTAATTATTGCAGTTTATTTTTAAAAAAATGCAATTATTTACATTGCAGGACTAAGTGGGACTGGGATACTGCACACAGACCACTTGAATGAGATGATGTGGTCTGGGTTCCTATAGTGTCCCTTTAAATAATACCGTGGGCTTTATTAAGTACTCTCTGTTATTCACTTGCTTTGTGATAGAAAAGATTAACAGAGGGACTTGTGCCCAGAAACATGGACAGATCCTCCTAAAGCAAGGCACCTGGAGTTATGTGTAAAG